ACCAAATTAATGTTATTTGTCATTGATTTCTTTTCGAAATGAGTAGATTTGAACTTTCTTTTGGGTTTTCTTAAATTGAATTTAACATCAAATCGCTAAACATGGCAAGGTTGACTAAATCGCATACTTTACAAGAAAAAAATTGTTCTTCTTCTTTACATTAAAAGTTCTCTCATGTCCTTTATTTCATGAAATTTCCCCTGACAATTAATGTCATTTGAAATATAGACTCTAGGGGCTTTCATCATTCGTTCATACAAATTTATACACAATATTCACGTCCTATTCATCATATATACGATTAAAATTTCTCGCCTATACCAGTGAATAAGATGTATTTCAAACTTCAGTGTACACACACACACAGTATTGCTACACAGAATCGAAGAAGATCCGCACAAAAGAGAATGAAATAACATGCCATAGACGAAATATACACGAAATATACACGAAATATACACCAAATATATGCAGTTATGCACATTTATTTGCGCGTATTACAGATGATTTTGCAATATAGTTCACTATTTACAGTATAAATCGTATACATTTGAAGATAAAAGCCCCTAGCTTTGCGTGGCCCGCGAATATCGAGGTCGAGGGGTCGGCGTACAACTTCTGAAAACAAGGATTACCTTCTGCAAAGAATTCAAAATAAAACTAATACTGAATACGTTCACATCGAATATAGCTGATGCATGCGCTGAGAAAGTCGGCTTTGAACTTGAAAACAAAATTTGGTGAGAAAAAAAAAACTAATGTAATTTATTAATCAAGCCATTAAACAATAGTGTTTCTCTCTTTCAGTTATAATTGGATCCGAGAACATTATCCGCATCTGAAACTACCAAAAGAAATTCATAGCGATGCGTTGACTTTCAGATCAATGAGAATTCTATTATCAGAGGAAAAAAATTGATTAAAAAAATGTCAACGAAAAAAATGATAATTTTTACATTTGAATCACTTTTTTATAAAGAATTAGTTTGTTTCGATACAATATGCTTCCATTGAATTACTTATTATTTCTTGATTATGCGTAAATATCATTTTGTCTAATACTTACATTGAATAATCCATTCATGACTAATAATAAATGGTAACAAATTGCTTTGCGTTTATCATTTTTTTTAATTCATGATTAAAATAAAACAATTGTTTTTTGTGTAAAGATTTGAGTTGTTGAGTTGTCTGAACTTTGCCTAAAAATATATATTTATATAAGTAAAGTTTCCCAGATAATAAATAAAGCAAATTTTTTTGGGATTTACTGTTGTTATTTTTCCACTTTTTCACTTCATTATTGACAATCTGGAAATGAGTAATAATTTTCAATCAAACTTAATGTCAACATAATCTGAATATTGTGAAATCCATTTCTGCTTCATTTTACTAAAGTAATAACTTCACCTAACTTAATTTTCTTCTGACTTCTCAAAAAAAAGTCCATATCAAAAAAGAAAATATTGTATTTGAAAAGAGCTCTATGGGAAATATGTTCATTCGTTAAATAAACGGAAGATTTTTTTTGCATATATTCTGTATATATTTCACAGCAATATCATTTCAATGAAAAGTAAAAATGTCACTTCAATAAAATTGCTACCTTTTCTAAGAATGAGTCGCATATATAATGTGTATGACTGACCATATTAGTAAATAAGTTTGTTCAATTTCAAAAATTTACAACAAAATAAAAAAAGAGCAACCTTGACTGAATTTTTCCATAATGTCTACATATCAAAATTATTTGCGAGTATATACTTTGCAAAAGTTCAATTCTAATTCCAGTTCGAACATGAGAAATTTAATTTATGAAATGAAAGTGAAACTTATTATGTATTTAGTAAATGAGAATATGCTAGGAGATTGATTCTCGGTAAAATCGAGAAATTCGAATGAAATATTGCTATTACTTGCCGGTGTCTGGTGTGTTGTGTTTGTGTGTAAGTGTCAAACATATTGAACATGTAAAATTCATATTCATATGATGACCCCAAAAATTTAACACGAATTTTGAATTAAAACCATTTGATTAAATTCACATACGACATGAACTAAGCTAATCGTACATTTATCCTCATGATTCATGAATAACAATAAACTTCTACATAATTACTTAGGTAAATGCAAACAAAAATGCATACATGCAAAATTATTTTTCTTTGTTATTATTTTCTTCTCTACACTGTGGTTTTCATTTCAATTTTGGTCTTATACTCGTTTAGAATCGTTAGTTATTACATATACATCTAATATATTCTTTGCCAATCACCTGAGTATATGTGTGAAGAATTTAATATTAAGTCAGGTGGAGATTATATATTTTTTTCACTTTTACTAAACAAGACCTATACTCAACAAACAAAAAAAAACTCTTGTCGTGATTTATTTGGAAAATTTTTGTTTTTTCATTTCGATTTATTACATCCTCCAAATCGATGCAAATGACGTTTTATGTGTGTTTTAATACATTTGAGGTGGGGCATGGTTTCGAATTATCATTTCGAATGCATTTGATTTATCTTGTGCCGAAGAAAAAAAAACATAAACTTAACAAACTGTCTGATCATTTTCAAGTTGCATCGCAATAATTTTGTTAAACACGTTTAAAACGTAACACTGAAACATTGAATTTGTCAGTAGTTTTGATTCAAGTGTAAAAATAAATGTCACTACAATCTTTATTGTACATTTGTATTTTCTCTATCGTTCGATTGGTTTTTTTTCCATTATTTTTGTTTGTTTAAATGTTCAAAAATGTTGCTATGAATGATTTGTTTTTGTTTTTTGCTTGAGCGAAAATATTTTAATCAAAAAAATTAATATTGAGTGTTTTACGTTTAATTCTTAGATTTTAATGAATATTTATGTCAAGATGTTAATTTATATGCATTAATTTGTGATTCTCTTTCAATGATTGCAGACGTTTTATTTTTTCTTTGTTTTGTTTTCCTCTAGAAGAAAGCTATCTTAAAAAAATACCAACAATTTTCCGTATAGTTCGTTTTTGTTAAGGTTTTGTTTTGTTTTTCTCTCTTTTTTTTTTGTTGTTGTCATTATCCCCGCATTGATGTTCATATGGCTAATTTTGGAAACAGGAAAATATGTCTATGTATGTATGCGTGAGTGTGTGTGTGTATGTGTGTACGTGTTTCTCTTAACCTTGATGTGTGTATGTGTATATGTTTAGATCTCTGGATCATATTTGAGGCGCTTGACATTATGATTGTACTTATCATCGTTGTCTTCACTATCGGTGCCTTCGAGCCGGGTCACAATTTGCTGATGATTTAATATCGATTGATGTTGTTGCGATGCAATTATTTGATGATCTTCATAGATATGCTACAAAAAAATACAATTTGAGTTAGATTTTATCTTAAAATAAAAAAGATATTGTGTTAAAACATACCCGATCTGCCGGAATTGTTGATACAATGACATTTGGCGAGGTGGAATCAACGTACGAAAGTCTTTGCAAATAGAATAATAAAAATGAGTTTGGTGTTGTTTTTGATAGAAAAAATAAATAAATACAAATTATATATTAACTTACCGATACTGGCTCTTTTTATGTATATATGGAGCTGAACTTGGGATCAATCGATGCTGCACCACATAATTATCTGTCAATTAAATGATCATTTGGATCTTGATTATTTTAGAATTGAGCAAAATCGAGCACGTGTTCTTACCATCGACGCTTTGATTCTCCGCGTGTACAATAGTACCCGGATATGAGCCTCGCGGTGACCCTGGTGCTGATTGCAACACAATATCATGCAGTGGCGAATTTTCAGCTGACAAATTATCTATATAAAAATATTTCGAAAAATGTTTGTCATTTTTAATTAAAAAAATTCAATGAATCAAAGATTCATACAAAATTTCAAACTAACCCATGTGACTCGGTGAAACCGGTGCAGATCTGGGCATACCGTATGGTGTTCGGAAGCATTGGCTTCCGCGTTGACGTCGTTTCTTATAACTTTGGTCAATTAATTTTGATTCACTGTTTGGATCGATTCGCCAAAAACTTCCTTTTCCTGGAATACGTGGACAAAAAATATCTCATTTAATCGCTTGCTTAATAAATCGATATCAATAATAAATTACCTGGTTCGTCTTGCGAACGAGCGACCTTAATGAAATATCTGAAATAACGGTAAAATCGAAATCAACAACATTCGTTTATTAACAATTTGAAAATGTTCCGTTGTTCACCTGTTCAAACTTAAATTATGGCGAATGGAATTTTGCCATCCTTTGTTTGCCTCTTTGCGATAATAGGGATAATGCTTCGAAATGAATGAATAAATTCCAGATAATGTGAGTTGTTTTTCTGGTGACGCTGCAATTGATTGAACAATCAACTGTGCATAGCTGTATGGTGGTTTCTCGAATTCATTAAATGACGAAGACGCCGGCGGAGGAAATAGATCCTAAAATTAAATAAAATCTTTATTTTCTGTTCATTTATATCATTTTGTGTGTGAATAAAACTTACAGTTTCGAAGTCTTGGTTATTGTTGGTGACACCGGTACTGCTTGCCAAATGTGCTGCGGAATTATTTTGATGATTATTATTATTTTTGAGATGATTGTACGAACTGTAAACGCTGGTTGATGTGCCCAATAAATGGTCATTGCCAATTTCGCGATCAAAAATGATGGTATCGCCGCGAATTTGATAGGATGTGTGCCGTGGACTGGTCGGACAACTATTTGCCGCGCTTATTGTTCCAGTTGGTGATGGGAATGGGCTCCTCTTATCATGTTCTGGTATCGAAATTTTCAATGGCGCATATATCACATTTGAGTTTTCAACCGTTTTGTTGGTTTTGGCCGGTATTTCGAATGGATGATCAACATAACTCTCAAATAGTATGCGAATTGTGGTGCTCGGAAAACGAATTGTACATCTATCAAAACAAAACAAAACAAAAAACCAATTCGATCCTCATTAAATATCTTATTTTGATTGATAGAGACACGAGTGTGTGTGTGTCAAGGTCACAACAATTTAGAGCATAAACAAAACACTCACGTTTTTGGTAATTTCACTGGCTCCGAACATTTTTTGCGCATCACATCATTAACGAATACACCATTCTTACTCAAGCATATCAAATAGAAGATACTTGTGCTATGATCGAATGTGACTTGCACATGCTTTCGCGACACAAAACTATTTTTACCCACAGGAAAATGTACTGTTGATGTTGACGAATTTCGTCCTATTATGATCGAAGCTAAAATAAATTTAAAAAAAACGCAGAAAATTAAGAAAAAAACCATTTACACATAGACTCGAGTGAAATTGATCAAAAATATTTACAATCATTATCAGTTATATATAAAACATCTTCTTTGTAGCACAGGCGACCGTAAACGTTTCGTGTCTGAAACAAAAAGATCTATTAGCTTTTTCTTTTTTAAAAATGCTCTTTACAGTCCAATTAAAAGTGTCAAAATTAAATAAATTGATTGAACTTTTTTAAAAGTCGATGAAAAACTTACACCCGGTTGAGATCGACGCGAGTCACTAAAAGAGTTGAGGTTATTTGTTGTTGTGGTATACAAAGTTACCGGAGGCGGTGGTGGTGGAGGTAGAGTCTCTAAGTTCACTAGAATCAGAAATGAAAAATATAGTGAAAAGTTAATTTTCTCTGAAAAGAGCAAGATGTACTCAATATTCTCGAACAAATCGGTGAACAATGGATTTGAACACGAGTGCATTAATAACAAGGTTCATATTTCATTTCACTTATTTTCCTTATCATTTGTTTAATTGTACCTTTGACTGTATTGGTTGGTGAACTATCTAAAACCATAACATTATTTTCGATGGCACGTTCAGCAGAATCGGCTACGGCAGCCAATAATACCATGTCCTCGCCGGAACTGAAATGCGAGAAATTTTGTTTCCATTAAACAAAAAACCGTCGAAAAAGAAAACAATTTTGTGGCATATACTTACCATATGCTCATTATCAATAAACAGTAATGTAAAACCAAATAACACCAAAAATATCCCGACCAATGACAATTTTTGTAAGTTTTCCCTTCGATTGTTGTCTATCGACTCAAAATCAATATGCTTGATTCTCAATCAAATTCGATTCACTTTTGATATTCTCTCTTATGCGTACGTAACGGCTCTCTTTAACTGCAAAATAATAGAGTAACGAACAAAAAAAATTAAAATAAATATTTATCAAATGATAGTGTCTTGAAAGCAAAATGTTCTATATCAATTCGGTTGAGTTTTCTATACATGCAACTTGTTGTTATAAATTCAATCATTTTGTTTTTATTTGCATGTGTTTTTTTTAATTGCTTGAGAGCATTTTTAAACGCGCTTTGGCGCAATATTGTCATTATTTCGGAAAGAGGTTTATGTGTATGATTTCTTGTTGGTTTTATTGTATGAATGACATTTTTTTCTGCTGATTGTGTTGAAAAAAAAGGAAAAAAAAACAAATTTCCCGTATTTGGTTGTTGTGTGACAAATACGATTTCAATTTGTAGCGATTAAGTCGCAAATAAGTTGTTTTAATGATAATGCGGTAGCGCCAAAATGTGACGAACAACATACAATCCACGGTTTGCTTACGCTCAATCCGTTTAAAAATGAAATGATAAACAGTGACGAAGAAAAGCGAATAAAAATTGATAAAATGTGTAGTAGAAGCGACAACGCAGTCACAACAAATTAACTAGTGACATTTGCGTTTTATTTACATTTTGGTGCCTGGGTTTTGACTATGTCTATATCAATCACCCTACAATAAACGATGATTTTGTTTTCACACTCATTCACACGTATATATGAAAAAAAGAAATCTTCGAACGCAACACATAAATCTATCATACAAGCATGCACACACAAACACACACAGTATCTTCAATTCGCATCTCAATCGAGTGATTCGATGATGTTGATGTTGTTGATATTCGTGTGGTTTGATATTTATTTTGGTTCATTGGGTTTGTATTTTTATTGTTGTTGTCGTTTTTATTTTATTTTGGTTGTTTGGTAAATTTAATGTGAATTGACAACACAATTTTGTTCTAAAAACGGAATTTTTTCGGCTGTTGTTGCCATTCACTGTAGGCGGACAATAGATATTTAATATGCCGAAACGTGCGCGTATTTATCGCTGATGTAATGTCAATTTTGTTGTCGGCTTCAATGACGTTATCGTACACTTGATTTTCATATGTTTTGTTTTTCGTTCCCTTTCTCTCACGCACTCACTCTCTCTCTCTCTCTCTCTCTCTCTCTCTCTCAACTTTTCTCGGTCGTGTGTGTTCTCTTTTATTTTTCGGTAAGTGACAATAGGCGCGTTGACAATGCCTGAGAATATCGTTGTATCCATGAACGATATGGCCATAAATCGAATGTCATGACGTGCAGTGATACACAAAATTATTTATAATTATCCATACTTGAGGCATCCAATCAAATTGATTATTGATCAAGAGAATAAAAAAAAAAAACGATATATGGAGCAATACATTCAAACCTCGATGTGTGATTGAGTTTGATGCTGTTGTATCTTACAATATTGACCGCAATAAAAACAAATAAAAATAAAAAACAATTTCACAAATAAATGTATTCTATGCTAAATAACGCACACAATTCGTGTAATTTTCTGTAACAATGAAATATCGCCGACAGTGTGTACTGAGAGCAAATAAGAAATTGGCAAATAAAAATCGATCGAAAAGAATCATTTGAGAGTGTCAAGTAATTTTTTCAACGCTTAACTCTTGACAACAGCAAACTGAAGAGAGAAATGAATCGATTTTGGAGCTCCTTATTTACATACTCCGTTTTTTCATGCTCTTGAGTACAATAAATTTTGATAGCCGAAAATAGTTTGGTTATTAATAAAATATGTATTATCGAGAAGGAACTGTACGCTACTATACGTTTTATTCATTGATATGCTCGACAGAGTGAATGCGAGAAAACCGTTGATTTTTTTTCTATCTCGAAACAAAATGAAAATATTGTGATTCAACAATTTCGCACATTTCGACGATACAGTATCAAGACCCAAACAACGCATACGGCAAAGCAACGTCCAAAATGTGTGTGTGTGTGTTTCGACGAACCATAATGTTGATTATAGATGTTTAATGATTGAAAATGTTAAATAACACTTCGAATAAACAAATGAAAATTGATCAATAATTATCGTCACAACGTTGCCGTGGTCAAGCGATTAGAGTGAAAATAAACAAAACAATTTTTTCTCTGATAACCGCATTAGTTGTTATTCACCGCGAGCTCGAACGTTGTTGCGATAAATCCATGTGGCTTTTCAAAGCATTTGACTTTGACTTGGAAACAAACACAAAATATTTAGTCGATCATTCAAAATCTAATGTAATTTTACATAGATGAACAAAACGACACATATTTACGACATATATTTCAAATTATATGCTAACATTTATCGAACGAGCCGCCAAATTCCCTCGGCGCACACACACACACATATATATAACTAACTGCACAAAATTCATCACACAAATGCAATTCAATAAATATACACGACATTTATTTTTGGTTATAGTTGCCAGCGCCAGAATTTTTGCGTGACTATACGAAATGTTTTTATTGTCGCCGTCGCCGCCGCCGTCGTCGTTTTTTTTTATAAACACAAACAAATCGTGTACACAAACGTTTCGTTGTTTTGACCAGTAGCCGCACACAATTATTAATTTTGATGATTAATCGTATTTTCAATCTCATGGGAAATCCAATCCCATGCACTTTAGATAGTTTTTTTTTTTGAATGGCAAGGTGGACACAATTCCAAGAACAAGTGCGATGATAGATATTATTGTGTTTTAAAGTAGAAGAATAAACTGAATATCCAAATCACAAAATATTCTCCAAATAACCAAAAAAAAATCGTCACAAAAACGTTGTCCAAACATCATAACTCACTTGCAAACAATCCGCGTGTTTTCCGGAATTTGAAACAAGTTTTTCATTCAAATTACAATTTCAAAAAAATTGGCACAAAACGGCACAAAATTTCGCACGAAATTCCAATTGTTTTGAATTAATTGGAAACCAAAAAAAAAAAAAAATTTGCTCGACGCAACGGAAAATTGCATAAAAGCAAAACGACAGCAAACGCGCGCGGCTCGAACGGCAAAAAAAGATTGTATTAATTGTTTTCGATTTGCAAACACCGCGTACAAATTCGTTGTTCGTTGTATGTGCGATGTTCTTGTGCACACGAATTCATTCACTTTTCATCTCTCTGTTGCCATGCAGAAAAGCACAAAGTCGAAGAATGAACATATATACACACATTCACACGACAATAGCAATGGTATAAATGTAAATATTATGGTCGTATATTTTATACAACATACACGGATGTAGTTGTGTGTTATGTGCGAGAACATAAACACACAGAGCATAGACATCAGGAGAAGAAAACAGAAGACGAAAAACAAACACATACAATAGACGCGGGGCAACACAATTTCAAGGAGTCGAAAGCAATATGAATACAACACCGTCGCAATTTCTCAATCTCTCTTTCCATTTCCTTTAGTTTCGTCGAAGGGAGAAAATTGATATACCAACAAACTACATCCAAATTATGCAAATAAAATTGAAATTAACAGTCAATCATTCGGTGAGAAAATAACGATTCAAAATAACTTGATTTATTTTTATAAATGACTTGAACACATTTTCCCCTCTCTCCCTTTCTCTCTCTCCCTCCCTCTCTCTCTCGTTCGCACGCTGGCTTGCTCATTCACTCAGTTGCCTCAACGCATTCGTAATAAACAAGAGTAACAACAACAACAACAATGCGATCCATCTAAACACATGTGTACATTTCAAACATAACAAACTTATTTTTCCTGTCATGTTATTATTGTATAGAATCGACTATTTTGCATATGCTTTGTGCTACACTTGAGTATCGAGAACGAAAGTCACATTGTATTTTGCGTAGCCCATCCAAATATTCCAATATACATATACGCACGTCGTGTTATTAGCAAACATTCTATGCCTATGCTTCGGACGAATTTCTCTTTGGATTTAACCTTTCAATTCCATGGGTTGTGCGGACCATTTCAAAACGATTAACAATTATTGCATGTGATTAAATCTATCGAAATTTGAAATGATTAAAAAAAACAATCAATTTTTCACAATAAATTCGGAAGAAATTCGGCATACCCAAACGAAAAGATTTTTGCACGTGTTTTGTTTTCTATGGCCACACACACACTTACACTCATATATAAAATCACGCACACATCGAAAGAAAAAACACAAAAAAAAACACGAATAGAATACATACATACAAACAATAAAAATAACAACAAAACTCGGATGGAAACTAAATTCAGTATAACAACACAAAGTCACACACACTGTGTACTGTGTTGTCGTATTTCTCTCATTCAGTCGTTATAACAAAGATACTGCGTGCAAAAATGCCAGAGTGAGATGAAGCGAATGGTGAACCAAAGGCCACAATGGCACGGATGAAAATGTGGTTTTTGGTGCGTTTGCAAACAACATTTCAACCGAATTTTTATCTCATTGCGTTCACTTCGACTAATTTATGGCATTCATTTGATCTCTTAAATGTTAACTAAAAAACAAGCACATAAATAACAACTCTGCTATAAATTTATCGTGCACATTGATTTGAATGATATTATGCACATAACCAAACTCTCATTTGTATCTACGCGGTTCGAAAATAAAAGAATAAAAATATACACACAGCGCAGCGCAATATTTGTTTTGACATGAAATTTCGTCGCATTTAAAATTTACACTGATTGCAATTACACTTAAAAACCAATCGAGTACACTAACCACTTTATTTGATGAAAAAAAAAATACTGAAATCAATATGCCAAATAAATAAATAAATGATTGCACGTTGAAAACAAAATGGCAAGCAAATGAAACAAAAATTGAAAATTGAATATACGCAAAAAACGTTGTTGATTTCGTTCTTTTGATGAAATCCCAAAACATAACACCACACACAAAATGACAATTTGTTTACGTGCTCATTGTTGACACATACATACACTCATTTGATGAAAATAATATTGTATTTTAACCGCATACAACAAACTCATCAATTGCGAAAAATAAAAACAGTGATATACACAAACACTTTTTTTTGTTGTTGTTTTTTTTTGTTATTGTTGTTGCAGTAACACTCTCAGTTCTGTTGTGTTGATATTATTATACTCACTTGTTTCTATCGATTGTGTGAATTTGTTTTCCACCGTTTTCTATTCTCTGTTCTTCTTTTTAAACTCTTATTCGCGTGAACGTTATGGTTTGAGTCGTCAAACACTTGAGCACTTTGTCAAAGATGTGATTTAATATAGTCCAATGTTTGAATTTGATTACTTTGTCGTATTATTATTGTTCTCCCGCTCTTGCTTCCGTACTCTTATACGCTAACTCACATCGACTAGCGCAATTTTTTCCGTGCGTTTTTTTCTTCTGTACTCACACTCGACCGTAGAAATGTTTGCCTGTGTTTCAGTCTGGAGGAGTCCTTTCAATTCAGCATTGATCCATATGCTACAAAAGCATCAATGTTTGACTCTGTCTGTTTGTGTGTATGCGTGAGTGTGTGTGTGTGGCTACACTTTACTACTCTCTCATACATAAGTAGTTAAATCAACAATAGTTTCTACTACAAAACGAATGCATTACGCGCGTATTCAGAAAAAAAAACCATGTGGTTGGATACTGATAACACATAGAAACATGTATATATGCAAATGATAATAAGATTACGCTAGACAATTCAATTGTAATAATACAATTTGTTATCAATGGTTGTGATTTTCTCTTTGCTCTCTCTTATTCTCCACTCCTTTGCCGCACAATTTTTCATTCATTTCAAATAAATTTTTAATAATGTTTTGCAATGCTCTTTTTTTTATCTTATGCAAACAGAAAATTGGCACATGCGCTCATATGGTACGATTTTTATTGGAAATATTTCATTTAAAAATCATTCAACTATCGATCTATGGTTCGAGTATGAATACATGATATTTTACATATATGTTTTGATAAAAAGAAATTGAACATTTTTTTTATCAACAAAAACATGAATTGTTGTGCTTTGTTTGAAATGATGAAAATAACAAATATTCAGTTTATTATTGAACGTCTTCATTGTAAAACATTATTCAATCAAACTTTAGATGGCGCTAGTTGTGAATATTGTTTTATTTCACAGGTGAAATCGGTTGCATTTTGAAACATGCTCAATTACCAATAAGATTCCGAATAATCAGATTCTCATTGGTAAATATATTTACACGATTGAAAAATGGATCGCTGGAAGTTGTACCTCTTTACCATTTTGATTAAAAGCAGTGATTGAAGACTTAGAATGGTCTGGTCATCCACAAACATTTCATGACACAGAATTTCAAACATTACTCGATGAAGATGAAGCACAAACGCTGAAACAATTGGCACACACCACTTGGTGTTAGTATATCAACAATTTCTGTTCGTTTTCAACAATGGAAAGATTCAAAAGCATGGAAAATGGGTAGAAAAATTGAAACAATCATTTTATTATAGAAAATCTTATTTAAAAAAAAAAATAAAGAAGAATTAAACGAAGCTTACAGTTGACATTTGAATACATTTTTTGTATATGCATTTAACATAACCTCAAAATAATGATTTGTTTATTCTGACATTTGGCAATCAGTGTCAATTGTACATGATCAGATAATTTGTACATTTCGTGTGTGTAGTATACATATACAGATTATCAAAAAAAATAAAATACACAAAAAACAAGAATTGAGCAACGAACGCTGAAAAAACCCTAATCAACACCAAAAACGAACAGCATCGGTACGTGGACACAATACGCGTATTGATGTGTGTCTTATATAAAAATTAATTTCTATTGTTTCATCAGTTTGATTTAATAATTGGTAATTTGTAATTGAATTTAGAATTAAATGAGATATCATTGAATGTATCAACAAAAGTCGAAGTGAATGTCAAGTTTTCTTTTACATGAATTGTTCGGCACCAAAGTGAATATCAATAAAAAAAACAACAACATAAAATTTTCGTTCCCATTTAACAATGTTTCATTCGATTTTGACGCATACGAAAAGTGATAAAAAAATGAAATTTGGTTCTTTCGATTTTCTGACGATATCAGTTTCAATCATCTGCGTTTCGGGTGCCTTGTGATTGTTTGACGCAATTTAAACGTACACATTCTCATTCTAAAATCGAAATTCTATATCGTGCTCTTCAATTTTACCGAGTGTATTTTCAGACACATCGACTGATTCATTATCGTCATCGGCGTTTCTGTTTGCCGTCCGTCACTCGGTAATAATTTTTCTGTTCTCACTAAAGTCAACAGTTAATTTATCATATATATTTTTTTTCATCTATCGCTGTTCTTCGGAACAACTTGTTCCATAAATACCTTTTGTCCCTAGCCCATGTGACTGAATTCGAAAGTAAAATGTTTATCGGTTTTATCGGTGAATGACTTTAGCAGAGAATAAAACAAAGAAAAAATATTATGTATTTCAGCCAAAAATAATTAATTTATCTGTATCGCTGTTTCGCATTTACGTGTAGATTAATCTCAATCGTGTAGATTAATTATCGGTGTATTTTAGTTTCAATGAACCAAACATGAATGAGTCTTCAATTATCACATTTTTTTACCAAATATTTAAGAAGCCTAATCTATATGTAATAATTAATCAGGCAATATATTGAATTAACTGGTCAGTTGAGTTGACAGTACATTAGCCAGCCAAATGGGCTAAAACAATAGACGTCATTGTTTTAATGATAAATCACTTTTCTTGTTTTAATATAACTTCTATTGTTTGAGTCCATTTAGCGTTTTCGGACGTATTGTCAGCTCAACTGACCAGTTAGTTCAATATATTGTCTGTAATTAATTCAATGATTGACACGATTAATTTAGAATTGTTTCTGTTTCGGATGGTTTATTGCGTTGCAGGTACAGGGGTGTTCAGACGATAGAAGGTCGTTTAAGCGCGTGAACAAGAACGATTAACGCAGTCAGAAATCGTTTAGTTATAGTCACTGATAGATATATATACACGATATTCGTGAGAGAGAAAATAGAGCCGTTGATACGGGAACATATAAACAATAAATAAACAATTTATAATTGTACATAATATACGAGTAAAGAGAACGGTAGCCTGGACTTTTACAATGTCACCGCAATTAATCAACAAAGTATTGAATCAAAATTGGTTTGTTTCAACACAAATGAAAGAGATCCGTCGATCAGCAACAGTATTGGAAACAACGAAAGCCTTTCAAGTATTGCATTGCATTGAAAATGCGGCGGCCAAATTCATTCGTACAATGAACCATCGCCATCACAGGACCATGCTTTGCGTCATTGTATATTGTTTAGTACTTAGTCTGAATTCAATAAAATATGTGAACTGTGATATTGAACCACATCCCGTGGACAATGGATTCAATGATGATGATGATGTTGCGGCTGTCCAGCACATTCCGGTTAGTTTTCACATAATATTTTTCGCCATTCAAGTCATTATTGATTTCAAAATTTTTTGTTTATTAATTTACATGCTAAGGTGGCCAATAAACCGATTGAGACAGTGAATGGAAATAATGTGATTAGTTCGGCTGATAATATAAACAAAAGTAATAATTATGAAAACATATTGGGCGATTCAAATTTTTTGCGTGCATTTATTGCATCGTTAGCGATGATTGTTGTGTCTGAATTGGGTGATAAGACATTTTTTATCGCTGCAATCATGGCAATGCGACATCCTCGGTTGATTGTGTTCACGGGGGCGATAGCCGCACTTGCACTCATGACTATTTTATCGGGTAAGGAAATCTCGCTCGCTTTTTCACCATTGATGATTCATTTGTTTGCTAATTAAGTTGCGTTTTATTTATTTTTATATCAGCTGTTTTCGGACAATTGGCGAACTTAGTACCACGCGTCTATACATACTATATATCAACAGCTTTGTTCGCTATATTCGGTTTGAAAATGCTTCGTGATGGTTGGTACATGTCACCGAACGATGCGCAAGAAGAACTGGAAGAGGTTCAATCGGATTTGAAGAAGAGAGAAGATGTGGTAAGTTTGCAAGAAATGAAAAGAAAAAAGAAATGTCACTTTAATTGATTATATTTGTTTATTTTTTTTGTTAGTTCGAAAAAGAAACGGCTACATCAACCACACTTTTACCGGACGTGGAAAGCGGTGTTGTTACTGTTACCGAAGATGCACAAGTTGATGTGAACATAACAAGCACACCAACACCAACACGCAAACCGAAATCGAAAAATAACAAATCGATCCTAGCACGTGTTGTTATCCAAGCATTTACGATGACATTTTTAGCCGAATGGGGCGATCGTTCACAATTGGCCACCATCATTTTGGCGGCACGTGACAATGTTTATGGTGTTATTGTTGGAGGTGTATTGGGACACTCACTCTGTACTGGTCTAGCTGTGATTGGCGGCCGAATGATTGCACAGCGCATCTCCGTTCGAACCGGTATTTATTTTTACCAACTATCTCGTACTCTTATAAATTGATTGAGCTAATCTATTTTCGTTATTGCTCCAACAGTTACCATTGTCGGCGGAATTGTGTTTATATGCTTTGCATTTAGCGCATTTTTCATTAGTCCAAAGGAAGACGACGATCCAATTATAAAACCATAATTAACGGCCACATCGCTTTTAATCAGCAATTTGACGACGCAACAAATGCCAAGCGAATTTATTCTTAATGGATATGCTAATTTTACAAAATTTAATTCACATCAAATGTATTTGTAATTCGCCTTACAATCAAATTTATTTATAATTCGCAAGCTCATTTGAACTTATTATTTCTTTTTATCATTCATTTAAGTTGATCTTGCGAACGAACGACAAGAAATACCTTGAGGCTTTAACAATTTGTACGATCGAAATTAGTAAACAAAAGAAAATTATGTAAAACAGTAAATTGTGTGTGTTAGATCAGTTTAGTGAATTGTTTTATTTATTTTTTTTTTTTTTTTTGGTAAAACTCCGTCTCTTATTGCGTTTGAATGCAATCACATTGGGTAAAAAAAATTAAGAAAAAAGTGACGTATTTTGTTTAAAAAAAATATTGTTCTTCAACGAATGAGAATTTATACGCGGAAATTATGAGATTTTTTTTTTTAAACGCAAAGCAAATTCACAGCAAAACAATAAATCACCTTTTTTTAAATAAAAAAATAATTACATTTTATAATTTATCCCAGTATTAAATGTGATTTTCTGGTAAATAAGAACAATATTATAAACTCGTGCGAGAAAAAAAGAAGGGCCAACTAGAAAAACAAAATAGAAATTACATTTGGCTAGCTAACTCATGAAAAAGCTTATGAAAAAAAAGAAAAAAAAATAATTAAACGTGGACATTGAATGGAAATCAGAACTATTTCAAAACACCTGTTGCCTGCGAAAATTGTTGTTGTTGGTGAATATAACAATTGATCAAATGTTATTATTACTATGATTTTGTACAAAACACAAAATTAAATACGAAAAGAAAAAAATTCAATAACTAATAAAAATTAAGCATAAAACATTGAAATTCTCTCTTTATTTTCATTTTTTCTTTTTACATTTTAATACTCTCGGTTCTTTTTTTTAGTTTATTGACACTTTTCTATAAAATCTGATAACAATATATTCATCAAACATTTGTCAAAAAAATAAATTTGTTCTCTTGTTGTAAATTATGTAAAGTAATTTGCGTTGTTTCCCTCCTCATGGTTTCCGAAAGAGAAAAAAATGTACATTTATCACTTTTAGCACCGCCTGATTTTGGTATTTGTTGAGCAATATAGTTGGGTCATGAGCAAATGGTCATGAAACTGAAAATGTTCATACTCAATGTTCATCGATTCGTTTTCGTGCTTTTGCTAGGCACGCTAAAAGCTCAGAGGTTCGTGTGGTTTTGTACTGTTCAAGTAAAATTCTTGTATTACAGAATGAAATGAAAAAGGAGCAAAAATAAAATGTGATTTAATCAACACTTACACCAGATACATTACGTTGTACTGTGATTTGTGAAAGAAGTCGTCGACCTTCTTCAATGCCACAGTGGTCTTCAAGCGTTTCTCGGTCCAATGAGAAGAGCTCTTGACCATTCAAATAGCCAAATTTCGTGATAACATAATCGGAAAAACCTTTTGCTTTCAGCCAAAGTTTTACATTGGCCGGCGATGATGTTGGCTGTATGAAAATCTCTGGCGTCTTATGTATATCCCAATTGTGATTTTTTTCACGATACAATTTCAATACTTTAGCTAGTTCATCGTTCATATTTTCTCTGTTATCGCTGCCAATCGAGTTATGTGCGGGTGTCATTGTTGCTGCTGCTGCTGTTGTTGCTGTCGTTGTTGTTGGTGGCTCCTTTGATTTGTTTGACTTATTTCGATCATTATTATCTGAACATAAAAACGAATGGAAGAAACGTCCCGATTGCCTCGTAATAATTTCAAATCATGATAAAATGTTTATTTTATTTACCTGTAGTTTGTTTGGGCACATGAATTGTGGCTATTGTCTGAACGGCCGCATTCAGACTTTTAATATTATTGTTGTTTTGTTTATCCTGCTTTGTTATATCGCCAAGAAATGGTGGTGGTTTCGGTATATTACTATCGGTATATTGCTGCTTCTTATCTGTTCAGAAGATTATGAGTTGAGTTTTTGTTTTATTGAAAAATTGACAAATAAAACCAGAATTTCTCAATTCTCAGTTAATATTGAGGCAATATAAAAATATATGATTTTTTTTATTCAAATTGCGTGTCAACCATGCGATTTTATCAAATTAAATTAACACAAATGATACCAAACATAAACATATTTTTTTTTAATTCTTTTGAACAAACAAAGATATTAATACAAGAAAAAAACAACATTAAGACAATAATGGAATTATAAATACTTACGCAATGGTGAAATATAAAACTACAACAACATCAAAAACAAATAAAACACGAACACACAAGCAAAAATTATCGATGAACTGCAAACATGTGATATCAAGAACAAATTGTAGCAAACAAATGATATGTGGTTAAGAAACACAATTTAAATGGAACATAACAAAAAAAAATCCCAGAGCAAACGGCAACACACAAGAATTATAATTAACATACTTACATGAAAGATGGGCTGAATTTTTATTCAAATTAAAAATTCGTTTTTACGCTTTATATTTGTTTGGAAATTTGGATAGCTTAAGGCAAAATCTAAAATAAAATCCTAATCGTTCTTGTGTATTCTCGTTCGGATTTTAATACAAAATGACAAACACAACTTGGTTCATGGCTTAAAATTTAGCGTTTTTCAAATCTTCTATATTCGGCGGTTAAAAAGAACAGCATTTTTTAATCAATTTTTTTTATATATATTTGTATTTCATTCTGTATATACAAAAATTATTTATAACTCATTCAATATAAAGCCAAATTGCTTGTAGTTTTAGAAACAAAATTTATTCTAGGTAATAATGAAAGATAAACTTTCTAAATTATTCAATGTCCATGAGTTGGATTCGAGAGGAAAATCATTATCATGTTATTTTATGGGAATTTAAATCGAATCATCATTCGTTCATAAAGCACACAAATTTAAAATATCTTCGAACCAAGTCGAATAGAATTGTTGTTTTTAGCACTGAATGAATTGGAAAATGTGAAAATGCCAAGATTCACTTGTCATATCATGTGAAATGAGTATTATTAATGTAATTAGTATTTGAAAGACGGTAATTTGAATGGATGTTATGTGCGGGTAGAGGGTTTATCGGTTCATTAAATACTTTTTGTTTTATATTTTGTTTGACAATGGTGGCACACTTCTAGATAATTCCACATACACACACCATGCAAAAAATAAATCATGTACATTTGTTGTTCAGTTGTGTTAAAACATAACATTAATATTTGTTGCTGTGGAATAAGCAAACTTAAATAATAATAATAAATTGACGGATACGCCAAAGCAGTTCATTGTTTATTACTCATTTGCAAATAAATTACGCAATCGAAGCTGTGTAATAATTGTAGAACTTTCTACATTTTGTTTTTCTTGCTCTTCCTTTCTCACTAAATCTAGATGTTCGTTGTATACGTTTTCAAAGTACAAAATTTAAATCTATCGCAAAAATTCTATATGTATAAATTAGGCTAACTATTTTTGATGCACTACTATTTTTTTAATGCAATTATTTATACTTTTTTTTTAAATTTAATTTTTTTTTTCAACGAATTGGAAATTCATTCAATTGCATTTTAGTTACTTCATCAAAATCTATATATTTATATGCATATATTCGTACAGCATTTGAGCTGTATATACGAAAATAAAGCAATCAATTCTTTCTTTCCTTTGTTTTTACATTATTTTCTTATGGCTATGTTATTTAAATGTTCTTTTCGATTCTTGATTTTTTTCTACATAATATTTTTATCGATTTATTGTCCGTTTCCTTTCTGTGTTATTCATTTTTCAAACAAACACAAAAAAAATTCTAAATCAAACGACTACTCAAAGCTTTGAAAAAATGCATGTCCATGAAAAAAAAATTACACCAACAAACAAATAAACAAACACAAAACACATTTTAATTTATGACAAATGTTTTGATTGACACACTTTCTACATCAAATTTTGAATGCATATTTGCTTTCCAAATGAAAATAAATATGCGCATAACATGAATATACATTACTTTAAATTGGTCACAAAACCTCAAAAAATAAAAAAATAAACATAAAACAAACCGTTCATACAAACAAAAGTATTTTCTTTTTTGTTTGATGAGAGCGGAGCAAAATGATTTGGGCTGAGCTGAGAGTGGAATGTGTGTGTGTATGCTGTGCTTAATGCGAATGTGCAAGTGTAATTTAATAATTGAAAAGTGCATTCAACATATCAATCGATCCAACTAGCTATAGTCGCTTTAATTCATAAATTGTTTCATGTTTTTTTTTGCTCTTAAAAATATCGAAATTCGCCTTTCTTACCTATATGCTTGTTTCGTATCCAATCGGCTTGTGCAGCAGCCGATGGTTGTTGATGATTCTCATTACCATATTGTGTGTAACGATCTAAAACTGCGTCCTAAATTAAAAATGACGAATTAATGATGTGCTGAATAAATCGAGGGTCATTTCACTTACATTAACAACGCGACTGTTTTTCTTCGGAGCAAATGCATCATTTGTGTTTGTTTCAGGTACAGCACTTCCGCTGGCCGCATTCGAATTGTTCGCCACATTATTGCCGGTGAAATTGAATGGTGTGACAATTGTGTGCGGAACATGTGCAACTTGGCCACGAATATTACGAGCTTTCCACCATTTTCGCGTATCATCCAAAATTTCCAAATATTCACCGCGTGATACGGTTAATTCTTTGTCATTGTTTGCCGTTCGTGGATATGTTACTTGCACAAGTTTTGCACCACGGGCCGCTAGACTTTCCAGCCATACCGGCGAACTTTGGATCATCGATTCATTTGGATTGGCAACGGTGACATCGGTTAAACCACCGTTTCGTTCGATTGAATCGATTGAAATGTCACTGCGAGCACTAAAATCTCTCATTGCCGGACTATGTGGGGCACCAGCATGACCAGAAGACGGTTGCATATCATAATCATAATCAATCGAGTACATTTGCTGTTGTTGTTCCATTCGCCTTTTAATTGCATTCGCTGACGGATTACTATTTTGTTTGATGAGCTGCAATTATTTTTAAAATATACCCGCATTAAATTCTATCTAGTGGTTTTATTTTCAAATCGCCTCTATGATCACATGTTTCTATTCAACTATTTCTTTTTTTTTAGTATGAATGAAAGATGGGTTTCCATTAAACGATTATTACCTTATGGTGAATACTAACTGATGATTGTGTTGGATTTGGTGCATCATTTTGTGGAGACGGTGTTCCAGCGTGCGCTTCGAGTTCATCTATAACCGGATAATCAGGTGACCAGCCATCAAAAAATACCGGATGATACATAACCATGCCTTGTCCTTTCCATTGATCACGCGGTATAGACCTGAATAAAATTCATAAAATTAACACGCCACATTGAAAATAAGGGACATCAACAAAGTGATGAAAAATACTAACCATGCATCGCCCAGCGATCTCCATAGTTCGGTTTCCTTGCTGGTTACACAATTGATTAGCAAATTAATTGCTTCGCGCGTTAACAATGGATTTATCACACGGGCCGGTAAATTTGGATCGTAGTATGTATCGTGCGATGCATCGACAATTAATGCTAATGGTGTGAATAGAAAGTGTACTAGTTCGGGCGCATTTGGATCATGAATATGCGCTTTTAGTTTGGCCAACAAATTGAATGACAATTTGAATTTTGCAAATATATCGATAAACTCTTTTTCATGCGGTGGTTTTGTACGCAGTGTAAGCAAACCTTCACCCGGATCTTTCTTTTTTGATTTTCGATTGCGTCGACGACGCTCTAATTCTCGTGATGCGGCCGCTGCATGCTGCAAACGTGCAATAAACTTTTCAATGTCATCGAAGCAATGATTCAATACAACAACGTCACGCTCATATTTTTCGCTTGATGTTGAGCTTGCATCATCGTTAATACCACCACCATTTCCACCGCCACACAATCCTAGCTCAGAATCCGTATCATTATCTGTAATGAAAGATTATTTGTTCTTTTATTTCGAAAATCAAAACAAATTATATTGGAAATTGGAAACTTTTGATGTTTTGATTATTAATATTAAATTGACCGTTATATTAGTTCCAGTTATCAGTGGCCTGTACTCTTTTTTTTAACACGTATATATTGTATTACTAATGACAACCGACTTACCACGATTATTATAACCAGTAACAGTGGCATCAACATTTGAGTGGTGACGTTCACGGCCTGACTGTGGCTTTCCATACGATTGTGATTGGTGATGCATTACATCGTGATGTTCTGTGATTGATTTTCCATCGCGTAACTGCTTCAAATCTTCAACTAAATGTATAGCTGAAATGCTTTGACACTAAAACCACACGAATAAAGATAGAAAAACAAAATGTAATCGTAACACAGATAAAGAGGCATAATCGTAGCAGAAAAAATAGGAAATGGATAAATGTGAAATACAAAAAAAACCCAATCCGATCCGATTCAAGCCAATTCAAGTCAAACCAAACCGATCAAACCAATGATTATCGTCTCGGTGAGTTTTTTTTTATTTTTCCGGTTTTCTGATTGAGTTTGTTGCTGGTCCGGTTTGACTTACATTTTAAAGTTGGCAGCAAACGTTACAATTATGTGACAGGGAAAATTGAAAACAAACATAATTCATTTGTAAACTAATCGCAACGAGCGTTTGTCGGAATGAGAATGAGTATACGTCATACCTGGAATATATGCATTTCGGAACGAGAACCAGTTCCACCATCCACAATGAATACGAGTATGTTGTTATATAATTCTGTGGGTCCATTGCTGGTGAAAGCGGTGGGCTCTTTGATCAATGAGGCCGGAAATCGCTCAATTATATTCTGCAAAATGAAAAAAATACAAAACAAAGTGTAAAAAAAATGAGATGAGGTCATATCAAATGGTCATGGTATGCACAAAAAATTTACCCCAGTTTCATAGTCCATAATTAAAATCCATTGACGATCCAAGCACAATTTCATTTTTTGTGACCAAATGCCCGTCGATTTTTCCAGCTGAAGTAATCTTCGCATGCCATCGGCTGGATATAAAATGCCCGATTCTTGATTCACCGTAAATGTGGCCAGATGTTCGAGCAAATAAATTGGTTTGTCCATTAAATCATTATCATAACGATCGTATTGACCGGTGCCACTGCGCAAATCATCACCCGAATAATTGCCACTGCTGCTGCCATTTGCCGTCCCGGCATCAGCTCGATTTGCATGGAAAGGCATCTTCTCTTGATTGCAATTTCACTAATTCTCTGCTCAAACTGATGTTCGTTTTCGGTTTTTCTCTTCTATTGTTTCTGTGCTAATTTTCGTTTTGATTTTTTTTTTTGTGCAATCGGTTGAAAACAAAAAACTAATCAAACTTTCATCGACTTCCAATTAAATAGAACATTTGATTGCACTCCAACACATCGTAGTTCAAGTTTTCACAATCACTGCAATAATAACAACAACAAAAATTATTTTATTTTTTTTTGTTAAATAGTTTTGGTAAAAAATTGTTCGTTTAACGGTGGCCAACAGAAAGCAAAGCAAGATAATAATCGCATTAATTGATTGCACACTGACGAAAAGCTGACGAAATGAGTTGTTGAATTTTATTTGTTTTCTTTTTCGTTCAAATTTTTATTTCACTGTTAGAAGAGAAGATTTCGCGCAAATTGGCAAATCAACTTATATTTTATTCGATAGTTTAACGTATGAGTAAATGCGTTTCATCGTTAATTCACTTGATCGTGTCGTTGTTCTTCTCTCGCTCGTATCCGTTCCTGTTCACATGTTCAAATTGCTTTTCACTAAAGGTGTGGCATACGATATAGGTGTTAAGCGTTTGATTAATGAAGTAAGACATGAAGAAAAAAAACACACAAAAACGTAAGAAGGAGCATGAAAATGTCTCGTTGTGTATGCGTATCGTGTGTATCAGTTTGTCTTTCTTTCTTTTGATTTAAAACGGTGCGCACACAAGCACATCTCCATATGACTTACGGAAAACAAGAAGCACAGTTCTCAGTCACAGTAAAAAATTCAAATATCTTATCATCAACGCACATAACATCATCTTCTGTCAATATATGTCTTTCACATACGGAATCGATGAGACAGACAAACACACAGACAATGCCATACACACACATGACAATATACCGATGGCAGTGGTGGCAAACGATCATATGAATGAATTCATCAACGTCTTCTTCGCATCGATTTTATGGCCCGAGTAATAGGCCGCCTTAACTGTAGAGCTATTATCATGATTTAACTATTGAATTTATTTAAAGATTCCGGAAGAATATAATAACGACCAAAAGAAAGCTAAATGAGAAAGACAAACGGTGCGTTTATTATAATAAACATACACACGCCAAAATATGTTCATTTGATTCACGTTTTAAGCTGATCAATATTCTGTACAATGCGACATGCTGATGTCGCTCTCACTTAACGCGAAAATCGTTTTAATGTTTATGCATTTCGATTCGATGTCAGATTGGAATGTTAAACAATTGATTTTATTTAAATTTTAACCCAAATCGTTGAAAGCAATAGAGAGCAAGTGCAAGAGAGAGCGAGAGCGAGCGAAAAAAAATAAGAAGCATTCAAAAATCGAAAAGAAAACATTTTCGATTTGATTGCCCACACCATGAACTATTTAAAATGCTCAAATTATACGTCACGTTCACTAATTGCACTTTTTAATAAGTCTATTTGGCTGTTTTGAAGGCACTCACTGAGATCTTTTGCACACTTTAACGGTTCCTTTATTAATTTAAACGCTCGAATTATTTTCAAATGAATTTTAACCAAAGTATCTGCTAAACACTCGTCCATGAGATCGATAAATCGATGACAAACAGATAAAAATAGTATTTCTCGCATTCGATCCAATGTACGTTTTTATTTGGAATGTTTTTGGCTTCTGGTAACAGATTTTGAATGACATACACACATAATATACGCCTTAAAAATTGTGCAAGGTAAGGGTGCGGTTTTATAACACAGCCAAGACACAAATAAAAATAGACAATCTATAAATGCATTTCTGTACCGCTCTTAAAATGCTTACGCCGCACACTCTGCGCCAATTGCATTGGAGTCGGGCAGGTAACCCATCAAAAAGCATGTATGCCTGTTGCCAATAATAGCAATTGCAACTGGCTAGACCAATATAACATCAGGCAACAACAGTAACAAACAAATAACAACAGCAGCAGTAATAATAATATTAATAGCAACTAAAACAACGAACGGCAGCAAAAAACCAATGCAATGCCAACGTATCTACAGAAATGAGTGTTATTAGTGATGAATGCGACTGCAGAAGAAGAAGAAAAAAGTATTACTCGAGCAATAAGGTATATCACATGGACAGTATAATATTATAGAATGGTCGACTGGTCTCCGGTGTTGTTCGGCTGATTACTCGCTCTCTTTCATCACATAATGGTGTGCGTGCTTCTTCTCGTCCATATTTCTCTTAAAATCAAAATAAATCTTTCTTCCACTTCTTATATATATTTATTATTCGCATTCGCTAGCATACATGCAACGATGTTAAAAAAAAAGGTACAGAATAGCGGTGCTAACTTCAACATGGCCAAGCTTGTGTCCATTGAACAACGAACAACGTTTCGTTCGGGTATATTGAATTCCAGAATTTTCTTTTATAAAAAAATGCAAATGCAATTTCTCTCTTGTAATGAGAGTAATATGTGGATATATGTGTATGTAAGTTTGGAATCATTTGTGGATCATCGTCATTGCCGTTGCCGTTTGCCAAATGGAATGCCACACAGCCTTACTTTCGTTGGAATTATCGTGAAAGTATGCAGAATTATGTGTGGCACTGCAATAGAATGCTCATTTTCTCGTTTAACAACTTAATAATCGTAGCGCACAAGGCTGCAAAATATTACTATTAGTTTTATGGACACATTAAATTCGGAACATAGACATCATCATCACAAACAGTTTCTGTTTCACAGGTGATATTCACATAGAGGAGCAGCTATACAGCGGATGTATATTGTTTTTGTTGTTGCTGCGCTTCTACGGTGAGATTTCTCCCCACAAATATTTTCAGGCGTGTACGGTATTTGTTGATATTTTGGAAACGTTGTTGTTTATTTTTGTTATTGTCTCTTGGCTTTTAATGGTAACCGCATTCAACAACGCAACTGAATGGAGAAGAGAAGAGAAGAGAAAAAAAACGCCAAGGAGACTAAAATGTCACATTGCCAAGTGAAGCGCGATCAAATGTGGGACAGAGACAGGTGCCGATTGGAATGTTGTCCACATCGCATTTGTTCACATTTATCTACATAGATACCGCGTCACAAGGTGTGTGCATACGGTTCAAATCAATTCAACACAGCACACACGATGCGGCCGTTGATGAAAAGGAGAACGTAAAATAAACAAACCCAATCAGACACACAGCATTTCGATGCTATGTTAAATATACCACATAACTCTCAACTTTGAATAGAAAATGCTGCTCAAGTGAGATCACCGCGAGTTGTGTGTGTGTATTTTTTTTATTCAATTTCTTTATAGCTACATATGATCATATATAATTTTTGAGCATTTGGCAACACTCATTACATTCAATCGGCTGAATTCCAGTGCACGACCAAAAAGCAAACACACACTCTCTTCTAATTGCTTATGCAAAACCATTTGCCGTGAGCACAAATATTTGTCGACGAAAAAGATAAGGCAGATATTTTACCATCATGTTGTATCTTTTATTATTAGCACCACTTTGTGAATGAATCAATTGAAAAGACCTGGTAACAATTATTATGTGCATTTTGAATGTAATTGTCGGAATGTTCGAAATAACTAATTAGATAAGTGTTGAGAAGAAATAACAATTGAATGCGCGTATGTTACACGTCCTACTCTTTCTTTCTCTCATTCACAGAACTATCCACATTCGCATCAGCCGATTAAACATCAATATTCGCACAGAAAATGAACACGAATGAAAACGGCAACCGTACATCATATGAATCGAATTCAGGTAAACGAAGAAAATTCATGACACATGAAATGCAAAACTTACTCCACATTTTTCGCTTAAGTTGCTGCTATTCGCTTCATTCTACAATTGTACATAGTATGCTCTATCAAGTGTTTATTTCCCAAAACAAACCGTTGTTCATGCGTGGCCCAACTGCCGTGGGCAATTATTCACAAAATGTTTGTTCTTTGAAACGAAAAAAAAAATGTTTTGCTTCTTGAAGAAGAAAACATCATTTGTCATACTATCCATAAAGAAGTTTTTATATAGATCATAGCTTTTCCGTTCTTATTAAGACAAAACATTCATTTTCCGTAGTAAATATCTCTTTTGTGGAACAAAAAATCTGTTTTTCGGACACCTAGACCTCTTTAACTCTCCAAACGATGGGTTCAGCAAATTAAAAATAATTTGTCGCACGTATCACTTTTCATTGTGGCCCGCGGTGAGTTAAAATTCTCTTTTGGATGCTTTGGTATTAGCCTACTTTGTGATGCCAATCATAAATGTGCTAGCAGAATGGTTAGCTAATGCAGATTTAATTGCGTATAGTAAATTCATCCGCATTCAAAAGTTATCATATTCTTTTTGCATTTAAACATATCAAGCATACACAAACTAAAAGTGGAAGAAGTTCCGAACGCGCACCTTTTGCGGTAGAAGATGCACTTCAACTTCTTCTTCATTTTTTGCTTCTTCTTCAAAGCAACAAACTTTAATATTAATTAATTTCTTTTTCATCGTCTTCTTCTTCAACGATTGCCGTTACTATTTCTCCGCTTCTTATGTCTTCTCCCTTGCTCGTTCTCTCTGCATTTAATATTCGACATAATTTCAGACCGACATTTTTCATCTGCCATTTACATTGTTGTTAGGTTCTTTTTTTATATATATACTTCATCTTACGTCTATCGCGAACCTAGCATTTGAATGTTTGAGTTTATGCGGTTAATAAAATAAATAAATGAAGCCAACGTGCTAAATAAAATGAAGAATTTAACGAAAAAAAATATAATATTCGGAAAATAGTGGAAACCGCGTATAAACGAAAAAAGAACAAGCAAAAAAAACTCAACACAATCACACTATTGAAAATGCACAGCACCAAAATTTCAAGAATTAGAATTCTACCTTAATTAACACAAAACAATCTTTTCTTTTCTTTTTTTGTGTATTGACAATTTGCTGTATTTCAGCGAACTATTATCCAATCAATGGATACCATTCAGTTGAACATATTTAATTTCAAAAAAAAGAAGAAACAAATAAATTAACGCAAAAAACTCTCATCGTAGAATTTCACGTTATGATTGCTTACTCGAGTGTCATTCAATATCCAATGTTAAGCTAATTGCATGTCTGTGGAACGTTTAAGCCTTCAATTCACAATTATTTGTTTGTTTGTTTTTTTTTTGCGTGAATTAAACACTTAAATTAAAGCTTCAAAGCATTGATCATTTTAATATTAGTCAAAGTGCACTTGTTTTATCATCACTCACCCTTTCGATAAGACAATTAACTGAAATCACTTAAACCACATTGCTTTCGTTAATTGCAATTTAAAATGCGGTAACCGAAAAAAAAAAACGCAGAGAAAAATTAATATTTCTCACAATATTAAAATGCAATTGTTCAATTTACACCGATTGATCTTTGCTTATATGATTGTGTCGATTCTTGTTCATAACATTTGATATGACTTGGCGTATTGATTTTCTATCAAATTCGTTGTGATGGAATTTCTGATTTCTGTATTTCATATGGGGGCAACAAGAGATAAAAAAAAGTCTAATGTTTTGTTATTCACTTGCAATACAAAAACAAATGTTGGTTTATTTGCAGAATGTCGCGACAGAACTGACACACAACGAAAGCGTTCTCAATGTTTCACAGTGATACAGATATTTTACTAAATCACGAATAATAATATTATAATACATATATTTCGACCGAGCGAACAACAAAATAAAATACAACATGTCGCAAGTCGTTGCTGCTTTGATTGTCTTTTTCGTAGCACGTATCTAGAAGGCGATTGCCTTGCTTTGCTTTGCTTTGTTGGCGCACACACATTCATATGCCACAATCAAAAACCAACACATTTATGTGTTTGCATGTAAATGAAAAATACCTTCAGCTTTCTACCTTCATTTCATTATTTCCCATTTTATTTCATTTTCTCGATTAATTCAGGTTTCAGTGTAGCTGTCGTTGCATTGTAGTGGTTTGAGGTAATTGAGGTGGTATGGATTAAACGAAGTGAAGAAGAAATATACACACTGCTATACGAAAAACACACATACGCACTTGGTGAGGTGCTGAATTGAGCATTAGATTTTGGTATTGTTATTGTTATTTATACGTTTTATTTTTTGTTATGACAAACACTCATATTTTGACACGATGCAAATAAATATCAAAGCGATTTTACTTTCAGTTGAGCTTATCACGAATTCGATTTTGATTATATATATTCAGTATATTTGTTTTGATTTAAAATCTAGGCCATTTCTTTTCAAAATTACAGAACTTTAAATATTTTGTTCAATAAAAAAATTAGCTACACATTTGTGACTTAATTTTGCCTTGAGTTCGATTCAATTGTCAGTCAAATGGTATCGTTGAATGTTTAATGTATTTAAAAACAATGTCAAAAAAAAAAAAACAATAAATTTTGATAGAAAAAAGATTTCACTCACAAGCTCAGATGATTAAAACAATTTAAATAAAAAAAAAGAATCAAAAGTACACCTATTTTTGGGAGAGTTTGACGTACAACTCGAGTGCGATTTGTGTACGGAAATGACGATGTAACTTAAGCTGTATTTGATTGTTACACACAAAGTTCTCTGTGTGGAACGTATACAATCATATATATAATGATCACAGACATACACAATTACACACAGGTACACAATTAAAACACAACACAAACGTACAAATTCATCCAGGTTTAACATACCATCGTAGTACTCACAACGACACGATAGACCGGAATCACCTTAATAGATGCAACATTTGTGGGTTTCCCATTTCATGTTACGTTTCTAAATATCTATACATCACATCGAACCACTGTGAATTTTTACGTATTCTGACAGTTACATTTTATAGCTGTGTACGTGGTTCGATCGGCATAAAACAGGTACCAAACAATACACGTTAGAATTTATTGTGTATCGTTGTAGGTGTGATCAGTTCGTGGAATTTAAAATACATGTATATGTGTATTTGATTTCGCGCGCGTTTGTGTGTGTGTGTGCGCGCGCGTTTGTATGCATATCCCATTAAAATCGTTTGAATAATAATTTCGTTCATTTGTAAAGAATTTTTCGTTATTATATTTTGTGTAGTTGGATGTTCGACACGATCTGCATTTCATTTCTTAAATTTGGTCTCACATTACCAGTTTTAAAAATGACCAAGAGCACATGTCCACTCCGTGACAACTTATATATATATATATAGCATGTGGCAATCGAACAGGTTCAAAATACATAATCTCGACGAATAACAAAAATTCCAAACCAAAAAAAGCCGTCTAATCAAAATAAATGTCGATTTTATCATAAATTCTTCACTATCGAAATCACTATCATGTCACCCAATAAACAACGAACCATAGAATCGGGTTTCTTTCCTGTGTGTCTTTCAAAGATCATAGTTTATATGGAAATCTGAGATCATAATCCAGACTGAATTCTAATGGCCACTATTTGTCTCAGTGGAACATTCATTTTAAATATTTAAAAAAATATTCATGAGATTTAGATAATTTTTTTTTGTAGAAATTCATTTGAAAATCTTACTTTTTTTGCATTTAACTCAAAAACAAAACTGATTGAGAAATACCATTGTCATATCGGTCAAAATGTATTTCAATTTTACTCAAAATGCAACAAGTGTTTTTCTTTTTGTGCACGTATAATCGATGACAGACAGCCAATTCAAGTGCTTGAAGTTTCGGAGACGAGAACAAAGGTCTACTTCATAAGAGAATTATCGCAGGCTCACGTCATCGCCGCTAAAATGTTTACAAATATCCATACAGAAAAATCGTCGATACAATAGAATTACAAAGAACGTATTTAAGTGCAACAGAAAATCGAACCCATTGCTTATCTTCCCATTGTAAAATGGATAGACATTTTAAAATGAAATCTGTGTAATTACGCTTAGATAACGGAAATGCACAAGGCAAATTGAATGGCAAAAATAATTGCTCTTTAGGCTTAGTAGCAATCAAGAATTGCAATGCATAATTTAACGTTGAATATATTTTCAGTTTGGAAGCGAAAATAAATGTCAAAAATTGTTGGAAATTATCAAATCGGTGATGAAATATGTATGACATTTGAATTGAATATCAAACAGTCGTTTTATTGATTTTGTTGTTGTTGTTGTTGCCCGTCCATTGTTATGCAGTTTTCAACCAATTGATCAAACCAACCGAAAGATAATAATTAGAAAAGACTGGTTTTTTGTTGTGCGTATGCCATCTCCCGTCTTCTTATTCGATTCTTACAAGAAAATCCATTGCGCGCTGTCGATGCTGCTGCTAACATTGTTGTTGTTGCCATTAGTGATGCTATAGCATGCGATTATTGGGTGTAGCCGGTCAAGTGTAAAAAAATTGTTTTTCCCAAGAAAAGCATCACGGCATACACTGAAATACACATTTTCTATGTAAATGTAATCCAAGTCCATCATTCAAAATTCGTTACAACATGGATTCGAATTGTGTTCGATGTGTATATGTATAATATGGCTTCTCTCTCACGATGAAACGAGAAAAAAAAACAAACCTGAATACCTGAATGTTCTTTAATAATGGAAACCAAAATTGCCCATTGATATCTCGATCGAAAATAATGCGTGAGCAATTGTTCCGAATGATTTTGTATTCATGCGATTAAATCATTTCGAACATTTCAAAATCTATATATGTTATTTGCAAGCACACAAATTATCGCCTTTTATCTTTTATATCAAATTTTAATATTGAAATCGCTGGAAAAAAAATTAATGTTCAAATTGTAAAATATCATTAAAGAAAATGATAAGTGAGTTTATATTTGTTTCATATCTTTGTTGTAATATTGACTTAATTTTCAGCCATTGCAATTATTATTATTATTATTATTATTATTGTTGTTGTTGCTGTAAATGTATTTTTCGTGTGTATTTTGCATTGTGTCCAGTCGTAATTTGCCAATACATAAATCGAACATTGAATATTAGTTGATTTGTCGGTTCGGTTGTGGTAGTTTCCATTCGAATTCGAATCAGTTGTATTTGCTGCACATAAGTCGCTTAGTAAGGTTCTGAGCTGTAGATAGATTCACAAAATGTTCTACCTTTTGTAATACAATGCAAGTGTACGATATCCTTTTGTTTTGTCAGCATCATTAGGCATTGTCTTACTGCCACCGCCGCCGTCACCATTGACGTTGCTGTGTTGTGTTGTTTCTTTTTGCGCTCTGCATTCAAGCACGTATTGTTTGTTGAGAGTCGTCACGATTTTGGTGGAATGTATTTGTGTGACTAATCGTGCGGTGCGCGCGTCGTTTGTATTGGTGCAAAGAAGGGAGACAGTCATACGCGTCAGCGTGTGAACACCAAAATCAAGACACGAAAATTAAATGTATTACTCTTAAAAGCGACAAAGAAAGACTTAGGCCGTATATCTGTATGTATATATTTTGTATAGTGTATTTGCCATGCGCATGGGCTAATTTTCGATTTCGTTGGATTGAAATCGGCTGTTTTGTGTATGCGTGAGTTTGGATAGCCCGTGTGTTTACGCCACGATGCTCGATACAAACGAGTCGATTGCGGCGGTACCAGCAGATTGTATAATTTCCAGTTGAGGCTGTATGGTTTTGATCGTTAACGGTGTTGTACATATAGCTAGTGAGAGACTGAAACCTGTTGGGAACAGAAAAAAAAATCAACACACAAATTATTTGTATCGTGTTCACGGCGTGTATTTTCGCTTCGTTCGAATATATATCGTACGTATCGATGGATATTACCTGAATTCTATTGTTTCGGCTTGATTTTTTTTTCTGTTAACTTTTTTTTTTGTTACTCAGAATGGATTTTTTTCACAATTTAATTTTTCTCATTTGTTCGGATTGTGTACGCGAATCAATTGTGTGATTCTGTCGTTGATTATTTCACTTTCGTTATTGAATTTGAATTGTTTTTTTTTTGTTTCGAAAAAAATAAAATCGTTTGTTTTTTTTTACATTTCGTTGCTTTTGTTTGTTGTGCCCATTTTCGGTATAAATCTGGTGTTCATTTTTATTTTGTCATTTTATTTTTAAAAACCACAAACAACACATTTTTTTCGCAGCAGTGAATGAGTTTGGTTTTTGTTTTCATCATATACGGCGTGTGTGGGTATTTCGTTTGCTCTTGTAGCCATTATTCCATAAATTTGGAAATTATTTTAATTGTTGATTGCATTATAACTGGTTCAGTGTACTCAAGTGCTCGATTGTGTAATAAATGAAACAAAGAACGGACAGCATTTGTTCTTTCAGAATGTTTGTAGTAGCCTCGATTTTTCCATTCAAGAACTTGGATTAAACGACAAAAAAAAAAAACAACAAAAGACCGTGTACGCTACACAAAACGTCAACTCAACCGAAAAATACATGGAAATCGTTTTTCCACCAACAATGCAAAAAGTGTTTTAATTTTTGGAAAATAGAATTTAGTTGGACAAAAGAGTTTAGTAGGGTCCAACTACATGGTCCAAACAAACAAACCAAATTCGGTAAAATTATTCATGAAAAATGTATGAATGAATGAATGACCGAAGCGATTATTTGGAAACGCTAAATTGCTTCGATTGATTCCCAGTAAATGGACGGTCTCACGTGTGTCGGATGATATTGGCAATTTATAGTGTGCGATGATGCGTACGAAACAAAAAAAAACACACACACACCGCTTAGTATGTCAAAACAAATGTGAGTTTTGGTTGATATAGCAAATAAAAACCAGTTTGATGCCTCATCCTCGGCAAATTCGACCAAAACTACTGTGCCAGCCGATGAATACATTACAGTCGTGCGTAATCACAGATCGTAGTTTGTTCGACTTGATTCGTCATCGAGATTCCAAAATTTGCATTTTGTCATCAATTCATTCAACATTTTAATCGGTCTCCCTTTTTTTGGTCTTCGCTTAGAACATACGCGGTCTTCAGTCATTCTTACAGTAATATCATCGCTATAATTATTACCATTACTGATCGCTTTGATTTAACGGCTTGTTAAAATATCGTGAGTGCAACATTGATATCGTCTGTCAGCGGACATTTGTCATGCAAAACATTTTTACTTGAAATATTGCGCAACCTTTTATTAAAGAACTTTTACTGCTTTCTATCAGACTTGAAAGGAGTGTGCCTGTCGTGTATATCTCTGTGTGTTCGGTGAATTAAAAAGCTATAGTAAACAATTTATCTGAGCAATGAACAAAAAAAAAATGTGTCAATTTGTATAGCATGTTTTAGCAAAAAAAAAAATAAACTCGGTATGTGGCAGACTATAATGGGAAAAAACAATTTGCCAACCTCAATGGCAAATACTGGAGCCTCAACAACTGAAACAATAACATTCACTTGAAACCCAAATTATATAAAATGAGATTGCACATGTGTTAAATATACAATATGAAAAACTCAATCACGCTTCACTATCGTGTCTCTCGTGTGTTGTGTTTTTTTTGTGTGTTCAGTGTGTCTCAACGCAGCACATTTAATTTCATTTTCATTTTGATGGCAAATAAAATGCTGCATGCTGAGCGCGATTTTTTTCCGTCATTTCGTTGCCGCCACGAAAAATTACGATAAAACGCCATTTTACTCATTTTCTATGCTATTTTTTCCCCGTTGATATGAAATAATCACTTCAATAATAAAAATAACAATGATGATTACAATCACTCGGTCACCGTGTATGTGTCATATATACATCACGGTAACCTCGAGAAACCAAGCAATTTTTTTTTCAGTTTTTGTAGTTGTTGTTGTTGACGAAAAAAAAAGACCGTGCATGTGGCTATAAATCTAATATCCAAGCATTATAATCATGTGTGGAATCCGTATTCCGTTTATTTATCATTTGATTACAATATAAGCGCTGAAAAGTGTACTGCAAATACATTTGGAGAAAATAAGAGGGAAAAAAATTCGTTGCCTTGCAATAGAGATGATAAAAAACAACAACATACACAAACACACAAAAACCGCGCGCACACATTATAAAATTCGTAATCAAAAGACGATAGATAAAAAAATGTATATATATTTTGTTTCTTGGCAGTGATGCAAATGGCATTGTTCACTGTTTCAGTGTCTGATTTATTTGTGTGTCTGGACGAGAGTGAGAGCGAGAGCGAAAGATGCGATCACTCGAAAATATACTTATTTATCTACACAGTTTATAATAGTCACACCAGTTTTGTGCAAACATTGAAATTACATCAAATAAACCAGTACACCAATTCATGATTTCATTCAATTTGCATTACAGTTCAGCGGTGAATAATTTGAATATTGAATAGGCAACGCGAATAGCTATTGAAATATAAAAAAAACCTCAAATTGTTATTGATGTAAGTCCGCTTAGCACAAGAGCAAACCGTGCACACAAATAATAAAAAAAATCGACAGATCCACACCTGTTTGAGTTCGAATTCAAAACATTTGACGTGTTTGACCACCAGACTTGATTCATTCCCATGATCGGTGTGTATAATTCACGATCGTAAATGCGAGCGTTTTCAGTATCTGTAAACCATTGTTATTCGTAGTTTGTTTCGTTTTTTTTTTAATTATTGATTCATCCGCTTCCACTTCGTAGTTTTAGTGAATTTGTTTCCGATTGATCGATCGCGGATAAAACCATTGGCAAGCGATTTACATTTGATTCGATTTTGATTTATTTTCTTTTTTACATACAATATTTCATCTGATTCACCTTTTTTTTTGAAGTACGCGCACACTAACTGGTACGGTTAGCTTAGCGAGATACCAATTATACAGCTGGTAGTGCAGCTGAATTAAAAGAGCAAACAAAATTCAAACACTATTGTGAGTGCTATTTGAATTGTAAGAGAGAAGAAAAAAACATTGCACAGCAAAACAAAATTTAATTCAAACTTTTTGAATAAACGAAAACGAAAAGCGACATCAAACCATTCAGCGCATAACAAACTATTTTAAAATAACAGTTGATAAAGAAGAAAGAACGAAAGTGAAAAAAAACCGAAACGATTCATTTTTCTATCTCGTAATTCTAATTGTTTAACACGGCAATTTTCATATTTAAACACACATAACACATGCACATGATGTAGATCAGCGTCACCGGAAATTAATGTTCATCAATTGTTTAACATTTTTGTTTCTTTTCTTCTCATTTATTTTATTTAGTAGTCGTGTGTAAGTGTCTATCATATTCACACTGTGTTCGATTCGAAGAGATTGCGATAAAAGATATAAATCATGGGCGAGAACAAGCAAACACGTTTATGTCATATAGTTAAACGTGACGATTTTGATGGTTACGGTTTCAATTTGCATGCAGAAAAAGGTAAACCCGGCCAATATATTGGTAAAGTGGACGATCAATCGCCAGCTGAAGTGGCCGGACTGAAACAGGGTGATCGTATCATTGAAGTAAATGGCGTTAATATTGGAAATGAAACACATAAGCAAGTGGTGCAGCGCATAAAAGCGATTTCAGACGAAGTGCAATTGCTTGTCATTGATCCAACAATTGCGTTCATTCCAAATAATAATGAAGTTGTCGATGGTAATAAGGCTAATAATAGCGTGACAAGCACAACAACACCATCGTCCGATCACATCGATGCAAATGACACAACTGACGCAGTAACAGCAACTACAAACGGCAAAAATGGTCAATCACCAAATTCAAATAAATCGAATGATTCGCATGCACACAATCCCACAATGAACACATCATTATCGATGACAACAACAACAACAGCAGCGGTAACAACAACAACAACCACAACGGCCACAGGTAATTTCATTCATACACTCAATTTTACTCACGATTAATTGCTCCATTTCAACGGATTTTATGTTTAAAATCGTTCACAGCAACAACAAAAGGTGCCAACAGTGAAGGACTTAACTTAACAATGACTGCAGCTGAACTGCGCGCAAAACTAGCCGCCAAAAAGAAATACGATCCAAAAAGTGACACCGTTGACCTACGGAAGAAATACGAAATCGTACAAAAACTCTGATCATAATAAAGAAGAAGATACACCCCGAAACAACATTCCATGTAGACCAAGAGCAGACAAAAGTATAACGCCTACGGTAAATTTACGTAGCGGCCATCACCATTGGATTTAAAATGTTAAAAGCAAACAACAAATCAAAATTAATTTTATGCATGCAAAATAGGTTGCAGCTATCTTCTTTTTTTTCATCTTATTTTAAAATTCTGCAAGCGTCGCAAAGCGCACAATAGCGACTGGGAATGATATAGTTTTTTTTTGTTTTAATTCGTCAGCAAAATAATAAAAAATCAGCGACAAAAAAAAAAGTTGAAAAAAAATATATAAGCGAAAAAAAAGAACGAGCAGGTATTGAAGAGGCAAAAAAGCAACAACAAAAAAGTGTTAACAGTAGCCATAGTTTTTTGTCATTTGAAGAGAGAAATTAATGAATTTGTTGCACAATTCATTGAATTGAAACTTTTTTTTTGCGTACCGTTAGAAAAGCAAAATAAAAATAGAATCTAGTGAATCTGATTATGTGTGTATATTGAATCATTTCCCTAGGTGCATCGCATTCAAATGGTATTGCGACAGAGAACAATGCAACCAGAACTAAACCAAAATAAATAAAGATGGTAAGTTGCCGTAATTGCTATGTGTATCAAATTGATACTATCAATCAGTATGATGTGACTCACACGCGTGCCTAGTTCAACGTCACCCGTTGGTTAAACATACAAAGAGAAATCAGTTTAGCATTTTTCTTATTACTCGTATTTATTTAAGTATTCCACGTACATTTTTTTTCATCTTCTGTTGTTTGTGTCGGTTGATAGGTAAGCGGCGCTAACTTAATATACATTAGCACGCGTCCGTAAGATAATTTTCTTTCAAGTTCGCTTTTGTATTAATTGTAAAGAAAACATATTCAGAAAATAACAATCATTCAAATTAATTTTGTCCAGTTTGCCTAAAACTGGCTACAGAATGAGGAAACATTTCCATGATAGCCTTTGCAACTGCATCATCTTTATCTATAAATGTGTGGACATTTCTTTTGGTTGTTTCTTTGTTACAATCAAAGCTCAAATTGGATACCGTTGACACTACACCTCTCACTGCATGAACTTGAACAACTATATACGAAGAAAAATTATCCAATTCGACTGGGCATGAGATGAGAAGAGAGCGTTTAACCTGAGATTCAAAATATTCAAGACGCTTAGCTACTTTGTTCTTCTGGGCGTTCAATTTGTATTTGGATATGATGTCTGGTATAACAACGTTCAAGTCAGTTCGATAAGTTGGAATGATGAAAGCATTGAATACTTTGTCAATCGCATTTTTGCCAGCTATGAAACAGCCGATTTTTGGAAGAATGATATTCAGGCCAAGTATCGGTTTTTCGTGCTTTTGAGAAAATTTAATAGCCTGAAAAAGTATGAATTTTTTTAAAAATGTCATTGATTATTAAACAATGGATAACAATTTTGAACAATGTTCAAAATAAATCTTTTTAACAAACGTGCATACATAACCAAAGAGGATGACAGCTTCTTGCAGAACATCATGGTATAGGTTTGCTATGTTTGATCTTTCTATATCCACAGGCCGTAATTGATCCTAAATCGAATAATAGTTTTTAAATTAAAACATACAAATACATTTGCGTTTTTTTGCTTAGAAAAACAAAATATAGATTCAATTTACTGACAAAAAAGTTTTAACACGTATGACAAAAAGGTTAGCTCTTAATATATAAGATTTTTTTGATGAATATTTCTGCAAAGCAATTTTTTTTCACAATTTTCACAACATTATTCGGAAAAAATATCTATGTTTTTACTTTAATTCAACCGGCGTCAACTTACGATGCTTATAAATTCAGCTTCTATCTCTTCTGAAGGGTCAATTTCTAACTTTATTCGGAGGTCTTTAAAATTGTCGTTGAGATCAATTTGCGGTACAGAATTGGAACTCATTTTTACCGTTATTCTAGAATTTAATGCATAAAAAAATATAAGAATACAAGCGAATCACTTTGAATTGTTAATCGAACGATAAATACTATGACAGATCTATGATAATGCTTCTCAACATGCTTCTCAACATTTGTATATGTGAATAATAGCTTCCATCTATGTTAAATGCTTCTCAACACACACTTACTAACACATAAACGCTACGGTCAACCGTACGCATTACCAAACTCACAATAAATGTATACTCCACTAAGACATACTTACACGTATATAATGCTTTGCGTAAGTAAATGTATGAGAGTAAAAGAGAAAAATATAGAAATCCCAGGTAGACTTTTATTCGCTATTTCACGGCATGTTTATGCATAATATAAAAAACAAAATATATTGTGCACAACTACACATGAATACGAAGACAATGACGTCGGTATCATATGTATATGCGAATAGAAAAACAGAAAAATGAGTAGGACAAAAATATGAACTGTGTATTAATATATAGATATTTAAAAATTGCATTTATTTGAGAATTTACTAAAATTAAAATTGATTTAATTTTTTCTACTTCGTTTGAAACTCTGACATCTTCGATTGATAAACTTAAAATTCAATTCAAAACAGTTCATTATTATTCCATTTGTTTAGATGAAACAATCTGAAGACGACAGAGTGCGCTTCTCGAATGTCTTCTCATTATCATAGATCTGTCATAGCATTTATTGTTCGAACAACAATTCAAAGTGATTCTACAATCTTCTTATATTTTTTTATGCATTAAATTCTAAAATAACGGTAAAAATGAGTTCTAATTCTGTACCGCAAATTGATCTCAACGACAAATTTAAAGACCTCCGAATAAAGTTAGAAATTGACCCTTCAGAAGAGATAGAAGCTGAATTTATAAGCATCGTAAGTTAACGCGGTTGAATTAAAGTAAAAACATAGATATTTTTTCCGAATAGTGTTGTGAAAATTGTGAAAAAAATTGCTTTGCAGAAATATTCATCAAAAAAATCTTATATATTAAGAGCTAACCTTTTTGTCATACGTGTTAAAACTTTTTTTGTCAGTAAATTGAATCTATATTTTGTTTTTCTAAGCAAAAAAACGCAAATGTATTTGTATGTTTTAATTTAAAAACTATTATTCGATTTAGGATCAATTACGGCCTGTGGATATAGAAAGATCAAACACACACAAAAAAATTTGCGGTAAAATTTAATGTAAATGCGGTTACTGAGTAGTGTGTGGTTAAATTTAAAGGCAATGCGGTTAACATTTCGTCATTTGGATTCTTTAATATAAGAATTCACCGCAATTTACCGCATTCATACAAAAATGACCGCACACG